TCATGTATCGTATCGTATCATAGGATACGCTTTTTTCAAAAAAAAATAATAATAAAAAATTTCAAAAAATTAATGGGTGCATTTGGTTTATTAGTTTTGGATAAGATTTTGGGAATAATATTGGGTAGTTGAATAGGGGAGTATTACGAGGCAAAATTTAAAATTTTCTAAAAAAACCACCTAGGTTTGCTAATTTAATTAATCACCCCAATATATAAAAATTGTGTAAAATGACAAAAACACCCCCACCACCCGCAGTGCTAGATTCCGACCACCACCGTCGGAATCTGGTTGAAAAATTATGTTACAACACAAACCGGTCGGATCTGTGTCGTAACGCGTCGATATGGCTTTTTCCGGCTAGATCCACCACAAATCTGGCTAGAAAATGCTAGATCTACGGCCAGATGTGGTCGTCGACTGCCGCAAAGGTCCATCTTTGGCCGTCAGCGACGGCCAAAGATATGGTTGTTGTTGTCGGTCAACGATGGCCAAGATTTGGTTGTCGTTGATCGTCAACGACAGCCAGATCTGGCCTTTTGGCCGAAAAAGACTAGATCGGTGAATAACCGACCATTTTCGGTCGTGGTGTAAGCCGTTGTGACAGATTCCGGCTACCACTGACGGTGGTTGCCGGAATCTGGCAAGTATGGGTGGGTGGGGGTGTTTTTTGCTAATTTTTAAACTTTTTTTCTGGGGTATTTAATGAAATTAATAACCTTAACGGGTCTAAAAGTAATTGAAAAAATATACTAATATTTCTCAAATAATGTGCCAAACAATATTTGGGGAATATGATTGGAAATATGGGTAGAAATATTGAACCAAACGCACCTTATCATCCCCAAAATTAATTAAAGAATTTTGTGGTATTATTGGCTTTAAATTATGGTATATAACGCCCACATTGAGGTACATAACTTATTTTATGCTTGTTTGCTCTTAGTTAAGCTTATATGCTCTTAGTGTTGTTTGGTTGCCCTAGGTTTTGCTTGTTGTAAGGTGGAAGATTGGCGAAGTTGGACATTTCAGACTTCGCCGCGGCTAAGAAGAAAGTTAGCCGCGGCGACGTATGCTCTGGAATTTTTCGCCAAAGCAAAGAAAAAGCTTCGCCAAGGCAAAGAGCTGGTTGAAAGCTTTGAGAAGATTCTAGAGAAAATTTCATTAAGGGATAAATGACCATTCTACCCCTAATTAGTTGTAAATGTGGGGAATGAAAAGTAAGAAAATTTCATAGAGAATGAAATGGTGATGAGGGCATTTTTGTAATTGACTAAAGGGCAAAGATGGAATTTTCAAGAAAGTGTAAGGGCAAAATGGGAAAGTATGCATATTAATATGAGACATTAAGAGTTCAAGCATACAAACCCTATCATTCTCTACACCTCACACGCCACCTTCACTCTCAAATTCTCTCAATTCCTTCATCAATTTCCAAGGAGATTTAGGGGACTTTTGATTGGATTTTTTGTAGAGATTCAAGCCTAAGCATCTCAAGGTAAGAATTCTTGTAAATAGATGTATGGCCCGTAAGAGTGTATGTGGATGAGGGCTGTACCCAGAAGAATATACCTACATGCACGCCGCTTTTAATGAGTAGTCTAAGAAGAAAGAGAATTTGTACAGTCCGTAAAATGCATGTAAATGAGGACTATACTCACTCACATGGCCAAGGTTTCGAATCCATGCGGCAACCAAGTCCGATCGGCAAAGAATAAGAAAGAAAAAGAAAGAATAGAAAGAAAAGAAAAGAAAAGAAAAAAAGAAGAAAGGAAAGAAAGAAGAGAAATAGAAAGAAAGAAAGAAACATAGAAAAGAAACAAGAAAACAGAATAAAAAATAGAAAAGTAAAAAGAAAATGCATTCTTATGCATTTGTGCATTTGCATCATATCTATGCACGATACCATGATTACTATCATGAGTAGTGAGAAGTTAGAATAAAGAAAGAACAAAGAGAACTAAAAAGAAATAACAGTGAGAACTAGAAATAGTGAAAGAATTGAGAAAGAACAAAGAGAGAACCTAGAAGAAGCAAAAGTGAGATGTAAGGAAAGAATTCAGAATATGAGCAACAGAGATAGAAGAATAGTGTAACTGATTTACTTACTGAGCAACTAGTGCTCACCTCGTTGTAGCTAAATGTTTTTGTAGGAAATAGATGAGAAATGATCGGATGGACATCGAGAAGCGGAGAGAAATGACACTATTGTCCACTATTTTTTTTTTAAGTTATTATATATAATATTTTTGTTCTATATAGAATTTAATATATAAAGTAAATAAAATTTTCGGGCCCATTATTTTTCACTTATATGCTTATGTGCTTTTATCATATTATATTTTTCACATATACTAGTTAGAAAGAGTCACTATATGGTATTACATAATCAAAATTAATCATAAAATTAAGAATCTATATTATTTTCTCTTAATCATTTATATCATTTTCAAGATCAATGTCAATATCTAGACTATCCATAAGATTTTTTAATTTTATCGCTTGATTGACAACTATGGCACTTTTTTATTAAATGGTTCCTCGAGCTTTGAAAATTGTATCAAAGATGATCCTTTACCTTTACTGTGTCTGTGTTATGTGGTAAGTAGTGAAATAGTTTTGGTCTTGTAAGAAACCGTTGGGTTAAAATAATAACTTTAGTCTTATAAAAAATTGTTTTATAAACCTAACAATAATGCAACACCAGTAGGGCATAGGGATATCTATAATAAAGTTTTTAAACTTTTAGAGTCTACTAGATAAAGCAAAGTATATCATAGTGATACATTTTTAAAACTTTAAAAGTATTTAATAAAGGTATAAAAGTTATCATCAAAATGATAAATTTGGAAACCTTTAAGGGTGGTGTACAATATTCCCCCACTTTTGGGGTCTTACTATTTTAGGTTTTTGTATTTATTAAAAGTAATATGGCGAACAACATGCACTCACCTATAGTTTATCGTAAAGACAAATTGATATCCAAAAGGTTTGAAAATGACAAACAACTACTTTTCATTAGGTTCTGTTAGGGATCTCCGTCAACAATACTGAAATAATAAATTTATATATTAATTAATATATAAATTTATTATTTCATATAAATAACTATTCAACATTTTAATGGATTAAATTCAAATAAGTGATTTAAACTATAAACTCAAAGATATATTTCTTTTTTAAAAAGCCCAAATAACATTATCTTTTACAAACTCAAAGGGATAAATTGGTCATTTTATTAATCCATAACAACTTGATGAAATATTAGTAATTTAATATAAATGATGTGGGTATTTATGTAATTGATTGAATTAACTTGTCATAGATTAATAAAAAACTATAATATCAAACTTTTAAGAGCATTTCAATTTTTTTTGGTATTGTTGATGAAAATCCATAATATAACCTAATGGCAAGTGATTGTTTGCCATTTCCAAACTTTTTGGATACCAACAGTCTTCACAGCAAACTAAGGGTGGGTGCATAATATTACATAGTAATGAGGGGAGAGGAAAGAGAAGAAGAAAAGATAAGACATAGGAAAAGGAACAAGTTTGGTATTATTAAGACTGTTATGTCATATGTAAGAGTATGACATTTCACCAAATCTTCATCATTATTTGTTTTTTTAATTTAACAAATGAAAATTATTGTCAAACAAAGACAAAGTGGGTCCACTAGTATGACTTATCTATAACATTCAAAGCAACGAAAGGATACTATAGTCATTTTCATAAATATAGCCCAATAATAATATAAATTATTATTATTACAATAATGATTTTCCATTATTTTTAGTTTTATTTTATTTTATTTTATTTATTTCTCTTTTTACTCACCATCTTTGTTATGCCATATCACTCTTTGAAACACAGGTTATTGAGAAGAGTAATGCTACAGTTATCAAGGGTGTACACCGAATGACGTAGTAAAATCCTAAATATTTATTTATTATAAGTTAATATTAATCAATGGTTATAATTTTATCACGTCATTCGGTACACAAATTTGGTGTGTAACTTTTGATAACTCTATCATTTTCCTATTGAGAAAATCTCTTGGAAGAATCTAAGTAGTTGGGTTCACCGTCACCAAATCTGGTTTTAGTTGTGCAAAGATTAAGTAGACCCCTCAAATATCTTAGGGTGCCTTTGTTTTAGTATTTTTGATATTTTTAGAGTTGGGTGAGAATAACGAGGTAGAATTTAAAAATTGACAAAACACCCCCTAGATTTGTTAATTTACTAAACACCCCTTAATAAAAACATTTAGAATTACAAAAACACATCCACCCATCCATTAATACCAGTAGCTGACCACCACCACTGGAGGGTGGCCGGATTTTCCGTATGGGCGCACGATTGACTAGATATGGCCGATCGTGCGTCGAGTTGACCTTTTCTAACTAGATCCACCGTGGATCTAGCCGAAAAAGGCTAGATCTACTGGCCATGTTTGATCATCATATGGCCATAGTTGACGATCGGCTATAGCCAAAGATTTGGCCGTCAATGACCAGATCTTTGGCCGTAGATATGACCTTTTTTGACCAAATCTACGGTAGATCTGGCTGAAAAATGATAGATCGACACACTACCAGCAAGATCCAACCGGTAATATGTCATTATACCAGATTCCGGCAACCTTCCGATGGTGGCCACCGGAATCTAGCAAATGTGGGTAGGTGGGGGTATTTTTATTAATTTTTAAAATTTTTTGTAGTGTTTATTAAATTAATAAATTTAGGAGTCTAAAGGTAATTGAATAAAATATAATAGTATTTTTTAACTAATGAAACAAACAGTTATTTTGAGAATAGGATTAGAAATAACTAGAAAATAGTATACCAAATAGATGTATTTTCCCACATAAAATAAATAGAAGGTTTTAGTGTTCAAGCATGAATCATATGTATCTAACTTTTCCCCTTTTTATTTATTGTACATATATATGATGAGATGGATAATGGATTCATACCAGAGTTAGCTGTGGTTAATAAAACTCTCACTGGTCATCAATGTCTAGCAGCAATTCACAAGTCATAACATGCAAAGGTAAGCTGATATCTCGCTTCTATATTTCCAGTTACTTATATTAAGAATTAATTTTGACCTAACACTAGAGAATGCAAAGATCAAGTCCTTGAAAATTCAGCTTCTGAAAATAATGTTTTTGTACGGGATGTGGCAGCGGTTGTGTGCTGGGGAGAGGGGGAGCCACTGAAGGTGGAAGATATTGAAGTAGAGCCTCCAAAATCAGATGAAGTTCGAGTGAAAATGCTATATGCTAGTATTTGTCACACTGATCTTTTATGTTCTAAAGCATTCCCATTGGTTAGTATCCACATCTAGCTCCTTCAATTTCTATCTGCGTTATTGGGCTTAATTTCTTCTGTTGATCTATTTTTTCAGCCTCTTTTCCCTCGTGTTCTTGGGCATGAAGGTGTTGGGTAAGCATACTATCCAATTTTCTCTATGCACAGCAGTGACAGTTTCAATATGAAAAATAAATTTCATGAAGAGTTTTTTACTATGATCCAACATTCTTGTAACATATATCTAGCACTTTATTATTGGGTTCTGGATTTTATGCAATCCATATGTTAAACATTGATTAGTGTTTCAGTTTAAAAATTTGAGTTTAGACACTGTGAAGAAAAAGATCAATTGAACCTTGGTTGGTGTTCATGAGCTTAGGGTCTTTTCCATGGAATTTTCATGAAGTTTTAGCTTGATGCTAATTGCTGCAGGGTGGTTGAGAGTGTTGGAGAGGAAGTAAAAGAAGTAAAAGAAGGAGATGTTGTGATTCCAACCTATATTGGAGAGTGTAAAGAATGCGAGAATTGCACATCAGGAGTCAGTAATCTATGCCTCAAATATCCATTGATCATCAATGGTTTGATGCTGGATGGCTCTTCAAGAATGTCAATTAGAGGACAAAATTTGTATCATCTTTTTACATGCTCCACATGGTCTGAGTATATGGTTATTAATGCCTATTATGTTCTTAAACTCGATCCAAGCATCGCTAATTTCTCACATGTTAGCTTCCTCTCATGTGGATTTTCAACTGGATTTGGGGCAGCTTGGAAGGAGTTTAATGTTGAAAATGGATCAAGTGTTGCAGTTCTTGGTCTCGGGGCCGTTGGACTTGGGGTACGCTAACAAATTTTTTTTTTATTTTTTTTTTTTACAGGGATCCATAATTCTCTAATAAGGATGTTTTTATATTAATTTTGTAAGGACCATATTTAAATACTATTAAATTAATTGGTAAATATCATTTCGGTCATGCATCTGATAAAATTTAAATATGATTCTTATAGAGACGATATATATAGTTATTTGTGGATGCTTTATTTCTAGTTTTTTTTTTTTTTTTTTTTTTTTAATCGACTGCCATCGAACAATATTTTAAAAAGATTTTTATATTCAAAATCGTGTAATTCCAGGTTGTGAATGGAGCAAGAATGCAGGGGGCAGCCAAAATAATTGGTGTAGACAAGAACAAATGGAAGAAAGAGAAGGGAGAAGTGTTTGGAATGACTGATTTTATAAATCCTTCAGAATCAGATAAATCTGTTTCAGAATTAATCAAAGAGATAACAAATGGAATGGGTGTGGATTGTAGCTTTGAGTGTACTGGAGTTGCTACTTTGGCTAATGAAGCCCTGGAATCCACAAAATTGGTAAACTATGTATTCATTAACAATAATTAATACATTTTAATTATTATTATTATTATTTTAATTTATGGATTATTTAGGGAAAAGGTAAAGCAGTGATAATTGGTGCGTCAAATGATGGAAGCATGCCGATTGGTGTATTGTCCCTTCTACTTGGAAGGAGTTTAAAGGGTAGCATTTTTGGAGGGCTCAAAACAAAATCTGATCTTCCTATTATACTTGACAAATACAAAAATAAGGTGCACTTAAGTCACTCTTTTATATATTTTTATTTTTTAGTTAGGGCCAAAAGGTCTAGGTAAATTGTTATTTTTCATATGTTTCTACTTTGTGTAACAGGAATTTCAACTTGATGAACTCCTGACCCATGAAGTTCAAATGGAAGACATAAACAAGGCAATTGAGCTATTGAAGGAACCCGATTGCGTCAAGGTTTTAATCAAGATTTGAAATAAAACATGTATTTTATGAAATTATTAATCAATAAATAAAATTTTAAAAGACAGCAATTCGTTTTCTTCGAATGCCAATTTCTCCTTGTAATGAATACCTATGAAATACGGGAAGGTGGTTTCTCCATTTGGTTGACTTTTTTCTTATATGGGAAGTCTTCCTATGAAATACGGATACTAGTTAGGAAAGAGGCAGATGATAAAAAATCAAAGGACAATATGGGTAGAAAAGGTTCCCAAACTCAGCACTAATAGTAACTATGCATTCAAAAACAATATAGGAAAAAGCAAATCTCCAATCAAATACAATAACATGAATACATTGCAACAAATCCCATTTTTGTTTTCAATAATTCGCAAGTAATTAACAAGCCAAGTACAGTTGGTATCTTCAGAACTAGGAAACTATAACAAAAAACAAAATCTCAAATCGTAGCCTCTACTTCAGGATCAGATTCCATTGGTACAGGAGGTGAATTATTGCCTCCTCTTAAACGTGAAGATACATTGTCAATAGCAGAGTTAAGTTGGCTGATTTTTGCATTCAAGGTCTGCCTCGTCTTCTGCATAATACAATGGATAATTTTTTCACGATTAAAGGAGACTATTAGAGAGAAAATAAACAGAAAAAGTAGTTCCAATGTTTACCTCTAAGCCTTCATCGTAATATATTGGTCTCTTCGCTTTCCGAAAACCATATTCATCTTCATTTAGCAGAGATCTTCTGATCTGAAAAACACAAAAAGAGCAATCCATTGAATAGGCACTACACATGAATAAAAATTTAAATAGAGAAGCATCATAAAAATTCAATTAAAAAAGCATCCACAAAACAGTAGGAAAACATTCCTTCTGTTCTATGCCACAATAAAATGAATTTAGATACCGATGTAATTGAGATACTAATTATATACAATAACAATATATTTGAGTGTAGGTGTGTCTATACAATAACAATAACTCTTACTCCTAGTATAATCCGAATTTCAAATTGGAAATTTTCCTACATCCCTCCCACATCAACTCCATCATACATACTAATTATATACATATACACAGTGAACTAAATAGCAAACCAAAGTAATTAGGGTGTCCTGAGGAGAAAATCACTATATATTTGAGTGTGTGTGTGTGTCTATACACACACATATAAAACACACACATATATATATTGTTATTGGGGTTAAGGCAACTTTATTCCTGTTCGGTTTTAGTTAAGATTCATTTCTTATTTGAAACTCTTTTCCCTCTAAATTATTAAACAATTGTTTAAGAAATGACGAATTATATTAAATCTATATAAGTAATCTTGCATAAACAATGAAATTAGAAAATCGGGATACATCACTTACCTGAATATTTATTCTATTCATTGATGGAATAAATTAATAGTATACTAAATGACCAGTTACATTTTTCATCAGATTATAAGATTTTTGGTCTGACCTTTACTAACAAGTTACACAATAAAAGTCCCTTGCCTTCTAAGGCATTAAATTTAAAACAAATGAATCCGTAACATTGATTTCACATAATGTGGCAAGGAAAAGCAATTGCATATAAATGTCGATCTCCAGCAAACATAAGCACTACTAGCACTATACTTTAACATTGAAAATTTTTACACTCTAATTGCGAATGGTAGCTTGCCATTTGCCTATGAGCAAGTATAGCAACTTGAGCAACTTGGATAATGTTATGTAATACTCCTCCAAATTTGAATTAGAAAAAGACAAATTTTGGACCATAGCAAGCAAGTCAAATGTCAATGCATGAAATTCATCAGATATGATGAAATACTACTTGCAGAAATTAACTACAGCCAACAGTAAAAATCTAATCACCTGTGGGGCAAAGACATAAGCTAAAGTTCCAAACACTGCACCTCCTAGAAGAAATCCAGCAACAAAATCACCACCTCCTCCCCGATTTCCATCTCTGCATAAGCAAAAAGATTGTGAACAGGTACGAGATGCTGCTTGAATGAATGCCACACAAAGAGAGACCAAAAGGGAGGCAACAACCATCTTTTGGAAAATTAAGTAGACAAAACCCATGCTTTCACTCACGGGGAAATACTGGTAGTATAGAGAGTAAAAAGAACATAATAAAAGCCTTAGCTCAAATTCCAATACTGGCCTGTAGTAAAATCTAGTTATAAGAAGCTTGGCTGCATGCTATAACTCAGGTTGGGTTTTATATAAGTTCTTTCTCAAAAAAGAGCAAAAATAAAATTGAAATAGACAAATATGAATCAGATCAGTGAATGCCACCTTTCAGTTATCTGATCTTATTAGATATAAGTACATGGATGCATACTCTTGTTTTGCAAATCTTACAGAATTTTTAATGACAATCTCAAAGTAGCATTAGCTATTCCGTTGAAAGGGGTTGAGCACACAAATTTTTCTTTTTTTTACTTAACCACTAGCAGGGAAGGTTTCCTATAATGGTAGATTATCTTTAATAAGTCCAAACTGTAACTCCGCATTTTTTGTAGGAGATGAAGGATCTAGCAGAAGATAAATGTATAAAGATGTTTTTTAACACACCAAAACCACACAACACATCTCATTTGTCAATATAAATCCTATCTGTGTATAACCTTATAGTTAAATCCTTTGTGTGAGCATCATTCAAAAGAGCCATATAGTTAGAAACTGGCATCAGCTAGAGTTAAAAAAATGAAAAAGAAAAAATTATTTGAAACATAGGAGCGCATAAATTCCACTTTACTGTTTTTGTTTTTGTTTTCAATAACTTGTAAAATAATGTCAAAAGGAGAAACTCAGTAAGAGCATAAATAAAAAATGGCTGCATAACCTCATGCTTTTAGGGTCCTGCCTCACCTTTTCTTAAAATTAAAAAAAAAAAAAAAAAAAATTCATCCTCTTATTTTAAAATACTCTGAAAATGAGGACAGAAAATAAGCACAGACTATAACCATTCTGCTCCTTGGTCCCCCATTAGAACAAAAAAAGTATGCAAGAACAGACAAATTCACAGCAAAAAGGACAATCGTTCTGAAGAAACCAAAGGGTCCAGAAACTACACAAGATGTGTAAAAGCTGCAATCTGAAAACATCAAAATCCCTCACTAAAAATTAAAAAAGAACAAAATTTTCTCCCTACCTAGGCAATTGAAGCTTCCTAATAGTGTTGAATAAAGAAGAAAGCAACTTCCAGAAACTCTGAAGTATCAGGCACCAAAAAAGAATCTCAAAGTTTTAATTTATCTTAAATATCAATGCTGATATTTTTCCTGTCAAAGATTCCTGATGTATTTTTCACTATGTCAAAAATAGAACTTAAATCAACCAAATTGAAAAAGGAATATGCAGGCAAAAGACGTGACTTTTGGCAGGCAGAAAAAATGAAGTACCATCCCGAGAAGACCCTTACATTAAGTCATTATTATGGCAGAAAGCAACAACCCGATTACATTCAGGCATAACGCTTGCAGCTAGCACAATTCATTTTGACAATTACTTCAAAAATTTCTACAAACAGGCATGAACATCTTCTAATCCTAACATTAGCGGAAGAGACGAGGAATACGAAAACTAAAGAGACAAATATAATTCAGCAGAATTTTAAAAGGAAAAGAGTAAAATGGTATCACTAACATCACCAAATGAGTGGTTAACGACATGCATAGTGCAAAAAACACGTCAAACAGAACATATCAAAAAAACTGAGTGCACAACTTATTTAGCCTAGAAACTTTTGAGCCAGCTTTTGCTAATAAGACTAAGTTTGAATCCCTCATGATTACAGCATTTATCTTGTGCCATCATCATGAACATCAAATTGATCAAAAAAATTCAACATATATTTTACTTAAAATGATTATAACAATCGTTGAGTCAAATTTGTTTCACATAAATCCAAGACCAGAATAACATACCGATACTGTGCACAAACTGAAAATTTCCGGCTGGTTTCCACTTGGTTTGATTTCCTCTGAATTATCAGTCTTGGCATTTTCCCAAATGTAATGGACTTGGCCGATGAAAGCTCATGTGGCTTGAGATGAGATCCACCTGTACCCAAATGAAAACAATTCATAAGCTAAAAAAAAGAAAAAACCTGAATAAGCATAAACTAACAGATAATTATAACAATGAAAATACAAATACAAACCCGAAATTTGGACTAACATGACAAAAATAAGTAATATTACACATACAAACTTGCATAACATTTCTCTTTTATTGTTATATTATTCATTCTCATATTGAGTATTTATTTCTAAGAGATTTTTTATGTTCCATTAATCTGGCCTTTATCAATTTGTAAACAAAGTTTATATGTCACTACATTTAAAAAAAAAAACAAAAAGTTAAATATTGTGCGCCAAGGACGAAATTCACATAAAACTTCATTCAAAAACTTAAACAAATTAAATCAAATGAACTTTATCGCTCCCTCTGCTTCTCTCTTTCATTTCAATCTACTTCACAACACGTAACAAGACAACTCCCATATAACGCATATGACACAAGATATAGACAATTCGAATTACGGAAAATTAGAATCAGAATAAAAATAAACATCGAAATTGAAACTCTTAGCAACAAACGAATCTCATCCATAAACATGGAATTAATAAAAAAAATCTAAAAGAATTCAAACTACGACTCATTTCAAGAAGTAAAAAATACCCCAATTCAATCATATGATAAATAAGTATCGCTGTAATTTTTTAACTCCTTCGCCTTTCGATAAATTTCAGAAAACTTGAAAGGAGGAGTTTAGTGATATTAATGACGAAATTAACCCTAAAAACCAGATGAAAGAAGTATATGCATACCTGAAACCGATACAGGAGCGAAACAAGAAGCCATGAGAGAAGATCTAGAGAGAGAAAGTGAGGTTTTTAGAGAGAGAAACTGGGTGTAAAGCTCAGCAATGGCCGAAGGAAGAGGAAGAAATGGGGTTATATAACTTATATTACGGTTCGCTTCTTTGGACATCGGTATTTCCGCAAATGCCTCCTTTGGTTGGAAGAATTACGAAACATTTGGTGTGTTGTAGGAATACAGTGAAGGGTATTATGGGAAATGGAAAGGCTAACCATGTAACGACGGTTAATTTACAGTTAAATCCAAAGCTGTTGCTGCTTTGGTTGATCCGCCAATGTGCTAACAACAAATACTTTCAATTAATCATTGTATTTTACTGTCTATTTTTTATTGCTATATGGATGAATTGTCACAGCACACAAATCTAATTTAGGACTTCTGTGAAAGTTTTTCAATATTAAGAATAATAACTAGAAGCAATATATTTTTCTCTAGTAAAAATTTAATTTAATAAAATTGTTTATATTCATTTTTACCATTAAAGTTTTTAAAGTGTCTTATTGAATCGAATGTCTATGGTTCCGACATCCGAGACTCTTTTTTGAGAAAATATGGAGTTCTTCATAGGGAGAACAACATTTTCTCACCCAAGATTTGGCGAAATGACAATTTCCCATCCGTCAAGTTTTAAAATGACACTTTCCTACCCATCGTTATATTATGTTAGAAAAATCCATCCTGAAGAAAGGTTTGATGGTCAATTTACATGAAGCCTACTCATTATACTCACTACATCCTAACACCCAACCCAAACATCTCTGAGTCACTCCTACCAAAATTGGAAGCACAAAACCACATTCAGATAGCCCCAGTTTCTTGGTCTAAAGTATGCAGATTATACAAATCATTCAAAATCCTCATACATAAACTACACAATAATCCCTTCTAAATCTAAAAATCAATGGCTTAACTTTATGCAGGCTAGTTATTATGGAGGAGAGATAGCTCCACTATTCAAGGAACACATGGTTATCTAGTTCACTCATACTAATGCTCATCTTGTTAACAATGGTCTTGCTACTTCAATTCAAAGGCTTCGTTGTCGCACAATGTGTCAGGCTTTCGCCTCCTCAGATAGAATTGTAGAGCTTGGAAACATATTGGTTGAAAGACTAAAGAATATGAATTCTGTGTGTATTGCTCTTCATTTGAGATATTTAACAATATCTGGCTAATTACAAGTTTGATTTTTATATACTTTTCGTCATTTAATCTTGCTAATTGGGAAGTGTAAAATTTGTAGATATGAAAAAGACATGCTTTCTTTTACAAGCTATAGTTACAATCTCACAGAAGCAGAAGATAAGGAGCTGCGAACATTAAGATATAATACTCAAAACATTGGAAGGACAAAGAAATCAATAGCATAGAGAGAAGGCTCAACGGTGTATGCCCCATGACTCCTAAAGAGGTTGTTGTCTTCCTCGAAGCTATCGGATTTCCTTTCGATGCAAACATCTACATAGTTGCCGGAGACACTTATGGTCAAAATGGCATTCAAGAACTTGTAGCAAAGTCTCCAAATGTAATGACTCATTATGATTTGGCTACAGAAGAAGAATAAAAACCAAAAGGACCTCACTTCCTCCCACTCCCCCGATTCCAAACCCTCAAACCCCCAAGTCTATGAATTCACAATGTAAACCCAAAATTCCAATCGGTTTGGCCTTCAACAACAATAGAGAAATATAAAAACAATGTCACAGNTAGCAGGGAAATGGACGCGTGGGAGCTCCATATCGTTTGGCAGGCCTGACGTGTGTTTGTTGTTCTGACGGGAGCAGGTCATTCCCCACGTGACCCTCCCACGTCAGTCCTTACTCTCCCAGGCATAACAAAAAAAGACATGCTTTCTTTTACAAGCTATAGTTACAATCTCACAGAAGCAGAAGATAAGGAGCTGCGAACATTAAGATATAATACTCAAAACATTGGAAGGACAAAGATATCAATAGCATAGAGAGAAGGCTCAACGGTGTATGCCCCATGACTCCTAAAGAGGTTGTTGTCTTCCTCGAAGCTATCGGATTTCCTTTCGATGCAAACATCTACATAGTTGCCGGAGACACTTATGGTCAAAATGGCATTCAAGAACTTATAGCAAAATATCCAAATGTAATGACTCATTATGATTTGGCTACAGAAGAAGAATGACAACCAAAAGGACCTCACTTCCTCCCACTCCCCCGATTCCAAACCCTCAAACCCCCAAGTCTATGAATTCACAATGTAAACCCAAAATTCCAATCGGTTTGGCCTTCAACAACAATAGAGAAATCTAAAAACGATATCACAGAGACAATCTCGCTCACTCAATCTCCAAAACAACAACACTAGAGATGAATTGAAAACGAGAAATCAAGATTGCGAGAATTTAAGGAGAAATATATGGAATTTTAAAGATTCGAAGAGATGTTTGGGTCGGACATTAGGTTGTAGTAACTAAAATGAGTAGACTTCATGTAAATTGATCATCATGCCCTTCTTTAGAACGGATTTTCCTAATAGGACATAATGGCGAAAATGTCATTTTGAAACTTTACGGGTGGAAAATTGTCGTTTTGCCAAACCTTGGGTGGGAAAATGTTGTTCTTCCCTCTTCATATATGGAAGAATTTTTTATTTTAAAATTAAGACTTGGAGTTTCTTTAGGGAAGAATGGCATTTTCCCACCTAAGGTTTGGCGAAACGACACTTTCCCACCTGTCAAGTTTCAAAATAGCACTTTCCCACCCTTCGTTAAGTTCTGTTAATATTTGATTGAAAAGATGAAAATATTCTTAAATAGTTTATTTCTTAATTAGTTTATTATAAATTAAAATTTAGTTAAGTCAAAATCTTTACTCGATTATTTATTAGTTCAAGTGTCAAGATATCTTTTTTCCTTTGTTTATTTAATTAATTAAGAATATTGATTTTCTATGTTAATTAGTAAAAATGAAAAACATTATAAATATAGTATATTATTGAATAATAGTGATGGGATACTAATGACATTATAAATAAATATTAATGTCATTTAACTTTAAATAATTCCATAGCATTACTCCTAACTTTTTAGGTGGGGTTAACTCTATTTTTTTTTTTTTTTTGACTTTTTGGCTAATTAAAAATTTATAAAGTCAAATATTTAAGGGTATTTTCGTCTTTTCAGTAAAATATTAACAGGAAACATAACAGAACCTAACGAAGGATGGGAAAGTGTCATTTCGAAACTTGAAGGGTGGAAAATTGTTGTTTCACCAAACCTTGGGTGGGAAAATGTCGTTCTCCCTTTCTTTAGTTGGCTTAATCTATTGGTCTAGTAAAAAAGAACATATTTAAAATTATAAGCGTTTATGATATTTTATAAGTTGTTTGGCTGCATGCTGGAAGTGTTTATATTATTTTTAAGAGTAATACTTGCCTTACAAAGAGGCATACAAAGAGTCAAATCCAATCCTTGAAAGAAGGGAAAAAGAGAGAGAGAAAGAGACAATCATGAATTTCAATGGTTAGATTTGACTCTTTGTATGCCTCTTTATAAGGTTAGTATTACTCTATTTCTAAATGTTGAATGACCTCTTCCCACCCAAGGTAAGGCAACACTACATTTATACCCTTAGTTTCAAAAACCATTGACTTTCCACCCACCGTTAGTCTCATTCATATGAATTTCTCTTTGACCAACTTTGACCGGTTAAATGCCCTTTTTATCTTTGTAAATCTTTGCTGTAATATTTAAGTATATTAATAGATTACTTTTAACCACAACTTAATGAATTACAAAATAACCATTAACTTTTGAAATCCAACGCATCTTCTTCACCTCTTTCATTTCACCAACTCCCTTTTCATCCATCTTTCATTTTCCACGTCATCAACCTTCTCAGAACACAAAAAAATAAAAAATTTACATCATCCGATATCACCAAACTTGTTTAAGTGATCACAAGATAAAATCAAATTTTCAAAATTTTAGATCTAGAACTCAAAACCTAAAATCAAAACAAATTATGCAATTAAAAAGGAATTAAATTAGGTGTGGACGCCAAACTGTAGATGGTAAAATCTACAGTTGAATTAAGGGATGATCCTCTGAAGACGAGACCATTGACAATCATGTAGACTTGCACGGACAAAGAAAGTGAAGATGAAAGCTCTAAGGACACCAGTGTAGTGTTTGTCATAGGCACTTCGATGCTCAAGTCAATACAGTTGAAAGGAATATTTAAGTGAGGCTGAAGGCAGGAAATGGTTTACCAGCAGTGTTTGGCTAGGGCAAGACTATCAGCGTAAAGTGGCCGGAGCATGGCTTTACGACTACTAAGGGAGGTAAAGTTAGTCAGAACTAACCTTTACGGCGGGAAAAGGTGACGGTTCCTAAGAGCAAGAACTTTGATAGCTAAAGTTATAGGTTGTATGTAAATGAATAATGAGAGGGCTAGCCTCTTTTTATATAGTGAGGCAAAGGAGCTTGAGTCCTTGTAGAACTAGGCGTTCTCACAATAGGAGTTTGGGTAAACAGGAAACTTAGTGTTTATCCATGTAGAAGTAGAAATATTAGTTCATGTAAGATTAGGAATCTTGGATGAACTTAGTTCATGTAAGATTAGGAATCTTGGATGAACTAGGAAGTAAGTAGGACTCTAATTCCTATTTTGGAACAAATATGAGCTAATGGGCTGGAGCCCAATTTAGCTTAACTTGTAGAAAGCCTAACTCGTGGAGTGGCTCAAAGCATAAGTTGGCTTGGTTCGTAGGGTAACCTTGATCATAGAATGGCCCAACTCGTAGAGTAGCCCAACTCACAGAGAAGGGTTCCTCATGGTATGGACCAGTTCGTAGAATGGGTCAACCTAGAGAATGGATATTCTTACAAGATGGGCCATTTGGATGGTTAATCCACAAGATGGATTTAAGCGTAGACCCAACCAAAATTCAGCTAAGGCATTAGGCCGTATATAGCATTTATTTTGTTATTGGGCCTGACAAGGCCCAATAAGATTTTTGGCCCATACAGTTTGTCCCCTACTCCCTAAGTTAATGGGACTTAACTTAAAGAGTAGATTGAGCCGATTGTAGGCATAAAGGA